CTCGAGAGGGTAGGGGCTCGCTGTCTAGCATAAATCTTAAAGCTTTCTGCCACATGCTAAGGAATTTGTTTGTCTGTTTGTTTCTTCAGACTGAGTCCCTCACCATGTGCTGGGATTACAGCAGGCACTACCATACCTGGCCCTCAAGGAGCGGTGTCATGCCCTCTGTACAGAGGGCAGAGGCTACCTCGTTCACGGGGGGGGGGGGGGGCTCACCGTCCTTGTTGACGCTTCATCTAAAGGACTGAGGCAGAGGGTTGACTGAGTCTTCAACACCAAGGGCCCTGACATGGAGACTGGCTCAGAAAGTCGTTATCATGTTAGAACAAGGCTCTCTTGATAAGATACTAATACAAATTATCACGCTATAATTAAAGGTTTCTTTCCTGTTTGTTCTTAAATAGATTGCTGGGCATGGTGGCACACGCCAGTAATCTCAGCATTTGGGAGGCAGGGGTAACAGGGAGTTCAGAGTCATCCTTCGCTGCGTAGTGAGCTTGAGGCCAGCCTGGGTCTCAAAACCCCAAAATTATATATGTATATAAAGCTGCTAATAACACATCTTGAAAACCATCTGGGATAGGTCTGAGCTGAGCCCATCTACTTAGCTTCTTTCTATCAGAGCCACCCTAGGGGGCGAATACCATTAGTCTCCCCACTTTCTAGATGAAGAAAAAAGATGTCCAGAGAAATTAATTAACTTCCTCAAGGCTACACAGCTAGTAAGGTGGAGCTAGGATTTGAACCCAGGAAGTTAAGACTCCATAGCAGTGCTCTTAATCACAGTGAAGTCCTGACTACAGCTAAAGAAGGATTTCGGCAGAGAACTAAATAAGTCCATCAAAGAGCAAGGGCCTGAGTGGTTGAAAGTAAAGAAACCATTAGGTGGGACTTCTGACAGGGTGAAAATTATGGCTATATTATCAAGGTTCTGACAACACAGAATGGGGCCTTGTAAGGGGCCTAGGAGAGGCCCACATGCACACACATAATTAAAAATAAAGGTAGAACTTAAGGAGTGAACGGAGAGCTAAGTGTTCCCGAGCGGCATTCCTCTTCTGTTGTCTTTTGGAGAGAGGGCCTTACATGTCCAAGGCTGGCTTTAAACTCTTTACTATAGCCAGCATGACCTTGAACTTCCAATCTTCCTGGCTCCACCTCCCCAGTACTGGGATTACAGATAAACGTCAGCACACGCAGTTTGTGAGGCGCTGGGGACTGAGCTCTGTGCTTGGTGTATGCCTCACAGTGTACAGAGTGGACCTTGGCCTCCTGCCCCTGAGAAAGGTATTCTAAGCATATTCTAAATAGCACCTGCTCACAGTTTCTTTCCCGAGCCCTGTTATTTTTAAATATTATTCTTATTATTTTGTTTGTTTGTTTGTTTTTTGAGAGAAGGTTTCTCTGTATAGCCTTGGCTTGGACTCACTTTGTAGACCAGGCTGGCCTCTAACTCACAGAGATCCGCCTGCCTCTGCCTCCCTGAGTGCTGGGACTAGGGTCATGCACCACCGCGCCTGGCTGCCCTATTATTTTTTTAAAGAACAGATTAAATAGAGCTTAGAAAATGCAGAAAAACAAATCCTAGAAACAGCTCTCAAGACTATGGCTTGAGAGTGTGGTCCCTGATCCACCAGCATCAAGCGGGAAATTCACTAAAAATGCATATTACCAGGCATCTGCCACATCTAAATAATACTAAAAAACGTTGCAGAGAAGTCCAGACATCTTTCCCCCCCCACTGTTGTTGGTTTTGTTTGTTTTGTCTCCTCTTTTTTAAGAGATTTATTTATGAGTATGTACATGTGTCTGTGTAGAGTAGGGGGGCGACAGAGATATGCTGTTGCTGGAGTTTCGGGAGGTTATTAGTCACCTGATGTGGGGGCTGGAAACTGAATTCATGACTTCTGGAAGGGCAGGGCGTTCTTTCTCCTACCCACAAAGCCATCTTTCCAGCCCTCTTTGTTTAATTCTGGAAACGAGGTCTGTCTCAATAGCCCAGGTTGGCCCTGAGTTTGCATCCCTCACACCTGAGCTGTTCAGCTGCTGGAATTCCAGGCAAGTGCCTCTGGGAACCCTTTGCAAACCTTCCACGTGAAGCTGAGCTGTGGGGCTGTGCCGTAGGCAGTGGTGGCACACACTTCAATCCCAGCACTCGGGAGGCAGAGGTAGGCGGGTCTCTGAGTTCAAGGCCAGCCTGGTGAGTTCCAGGATGGCCAGGCTACACAGAGATAACCCTGTCTCATAACAAAACTTCTAGGTGATTCTCAAGTGTATTAACGTTAAGAACTGTTGGAAGTAACTAGAATTGAAGTTTTTATTCTTTACTTGGACCTTGGGACAAGAGCCATTTTCCCAGTCTGCTGGAATTTGGAGACTGCTGGTTGGCCTTGCCCTGTGGAGACTTACAAGCAGAATCCTAACCCCTCACAGTAGCTCACTCATTTTTTTAAAAAAACTATCTATGCATGTATGTGTAATACATGTAGGACTGGCGATTGATCCCAGGGCCTTGCACATCCCAGGCAAATGCTCTAACACTGAATTGTACTGCACCCTCTGGCTCACCCCTTCTAATAAACCATGTTGATCACTATTGAACTTAAAGTAGAAAACCTACTTGACCATTAAGACCAAAGGGGAGAGTTCTTTAAAGAGCTAAAACCATTTCCTTCGTACTTCCTTCTCCTTGCTGTCCAAGACCAGAAACCCTTTCTAAAAATTAGCATTTGTCCTTCAGGACCAACAAATGGCTTCTGTGACTTTCTGCATTGGCATGTCATGCGTTAGAGAATGTCTGGCGAGCCTCTGAGGCCCCTGGAGCCTGCCCTGGTGTCATGAGACAGGAAATCTGTTTTTGGCTGAGTCGGCCTTTCCTTAGTTTGGGCCGTGTTCCCTAGTGCCTAAAGCTTCAGCTGCACTTGGCGGAGAGGTTGGAGCCTTGTCAGCGATCACATTCTGAGTGTGTGATTTACAATAGGGAGGATCTGAAGGTCAGAGTACATTTTCCTGGCTAGTGTCACTGGGCGTTGGGGATGGATGTGACAGGGCCTCATGTTAGAAGAATCCTTGTTTAAAATCTTGACCAACTCGGGGCTCATTACTGTAATTTATTATCGTCTCATCTCCACAAAGAGTGACATCATTAAAAATCAGTATAGGGCTGGGGAGATGGCTCAGAGGTTAAGAGCGCTGTCTGCTCTTCCAGAGGTCCTGAGTTCAATTCCCAGCACCCACGTGGTGGCTCACAACCATCTATAATGAGATCTGGTGCCCTCTTCTGGCCTGCAGGTGTATATGCAGACAGAGCACTCACAGATATAATAATAATAAAATACAAGAGTGGTTAAGAGCACTGGCTGCTCTTCCAGAGGACCTGGCTTCTATTCCCAGCCACATGTTGGCTCACAATTGTCTATAACTCTAGTTCCAGAAGCCCTTTCTAGCCTCCTTAGGCATTGCATGCACACGGTACACAGACAGACATGCAGGCAAAACACCCATACACATAAAATTAAAAAAAAAAAAGCTCTTTAGAAAAAATAAAATCGGTGTAAAAATTATTTTTGACTAGGATGTCAATGGAGAGAAATAGTGAAAGACAAACAGGAAAAGATCAAAACCGCTGACTGCGTGGAGACAGGAAGAGTCAGTGTTGTCACGCAGGCTGGTAAGCGGTAACCGCAAGAGGGTGAATATCAATTTGCTGTAATGTCCGAATTGAGGCTGGTATTCATTAAGGGGCCTCCTTTCATCTGCTCCTCATGCAGCCGCTTAACGAGGGGAGTGCTGTTGCCAGCCACTGTGGCCGACAAAAACGGGAGGCTTGGAGAGGTGAGGGTGAACGGGGCCGCTCCACAGCTCACACTTGGTTTGGTAGCCCAGAGCTGCAGCCGCCAGCCTGGGTCGGTAGCGTGCTCCCCTGTGACTTTCAGAAAGAAGTGGCCCCGAGTGCTTCCAATGGTTTAGGTTCCCGAGCCCAGGCAGGAGTCCAGCACCACAGGGTCCTCTGCTGGACACCTTTGGATAGCAGCAATAAGCACAGGGCTTCTGTGTGGCCCGGAACCCACCCTCACAAATGGAAGTAGGTTTCCACCTTCCCTTCTGCAAGAAACAATGAGGATTCCGGCGTGGTGGTGCCCACCTTTAGGCCAGCACTCCAGAGGCAGAGGCAGGAGGATTTCTCTGAGTTCCAGCTAGAAGCGATAGCGTAAAGAACAGTTCAGCTGCCAGAGGCCCAGTTGCCTACAGTGTCATGGAATCTGTCCAGGCGCTCTGCCAAAGAGCTTAGGGTCGAATTCAGCCTCTGGGCTATGGACTATGTATGACTCCAAACCCAGTGATGCCAGGATCAGCATTTCAGAGGACTGCCACCACGTACCACAATCAAACATAGACTTGTTTTCGAAGGAAGCTACCCTCAAGACATACTTTTGGTTTGTTTGGCAAAGGATCTTTCTGTAGCCCTGGTTGTCCTGGGACTCACTAAGTAGACCAGGTTGGCCTTGAACTCCCAGAGATCCACCTGCCTCTGTCTCCTGAGTGCTGGGATTAAAGGCATGTGTCACTTCTTGCCACCCGGGGCTCTGGATGACAGCAGCTGGGTCTCAAGATGATAGACACGGCTTTCCCACAGCAGCATCTCTCTCAGCAGGGAACCCCAGCCTCCTCACCAGGACACCCACAGCTCCATGAAAGCAGGACAACAGCAAAGAGCAGGTGCTGGGGTGGGAATGGGGCGGGTGGGTTTTTTGTACGCCTTGAAGTCTCTGCTTTTGCACCAGCCTGCAGTCTCTAGCAGGAGAGAAATCTTTTAAGTAATCTGAGAGCAGGAAGCATGACCCTCGCATTTGCCTGTGGCAGTGGGCTCTCTGGTTCTGACTCCCAGTTCACGGACTGAGGGGAAGGGGAAGACTGTTGTCTGTCAGGGGGCTGCACAGCACAAAGTCCGTCCTGGGCAGTTACAGTGAGAGTATGCATCCAGAGCCGGCTCACCCTACCTTGGCCGTCTTCATCCTTTCTTCTATGGGGTCCTCCTGGTTCTTCGTGAGAGTCAATTTCATCTCCGCATTCCTGTTGGGTTTACACACCACAAAAAACAATGAGACAAAAGTAAAAGCAAACACCCCTCTGTCCATGCCCGTCGGGTAAAATGGACTGAAGGCCCTTCCCTTCACTGTCTCCACCGCCTCCTTTTTCCTTAGTGGTCCTGGCAATTATTATTAGTGTTGTATTTTTTGAGACAGCATGTTATTAGGTAGCCCTGGCTGTCCTGGAACTCACTCTGTAGACCAGGCTGGTCTCGAACTCTCAGATATCTGGCTACCTCTGCCTCCCGAATGCTGGGACTAAAGGTGTGTGCCACCACCGCCCAGTGGTGCTGGGGATGTCTGTGAATGCCAGGCAAGCGCTCTGCTGCTGGGCTCACCCCGGCTCATCTTTGCGCTGCAGTGCCCAGAGATGAGTTTTAAAGAGCCAAGTGGGTAGGGCATAGCACTGTGGGAGAAGGGAAGGATGGCGGCCCAGGCCAAGGCCAACTGGCAGCAGAGCGCCCCCAGCGACTGGTCAGAAACTGCCATGAGGGGAGAAAAGGCTGAGAGTAGTGGGAAGGTTGGGGAGACGCCAGAGCCTTCCAGGCAGGGTAGGGGTTTCGTCCTTTATCTTGAGAATACTCGCCACTGAGGAGAAGCAGGGAAGCCAGAGGGTCGACCAGGTGGCAGTCCCAGGATTACCATGGGTCGGGTCTCCTCTCTCCTTTGACACCTCCTTCCCTCTTTCCCTGAGTCACCGGAGCGACTTCACTGTCGGGTAACTCCCCTCACAGAGCTTTTTAACCTCAGCTGCTGCTCACTGGAATTACTTGAAGAGTTAAAGAAACCAAAACCGACCCAGTGACAAACCCTTCCCGGGATCTAACACCATGCAGAATCGGACTCTGCGGGGGTAGTGTTTTTAAGGCGTCTTCTTCCAGCGTCCTTCCCCAGCTGCTGAAGGGCAGCTCCTTAGCAACCAAAACCATAGCAGGTGGAGCTGGCCACGGAGGAGGCCCTGTGCTGGCCATGAGGCTGCTCCCGGCCTTTGCCCTAGCCTGCAACCCGGTCCCCACCCAAGAGGGCACTTCAGTGATACAGCTGGATTGAGACACCGCATGTTGTGGGCCCTGGAAGTCCCTGCCGATAGTCTCACCTTTTAGCTACAATCACTTTTCCACCTGCTATTAAATTGACCACTTTGGGAAGAAAAACTCTATCATCTGCTAAGGCAGTGGTTCTGAACCTGTGGGTTGAGACCCCTTTGTGGGGGTCAAATGACCCTTTCACAGGGCTCGTCTAAGACCAGTGTAAGACACATAATTATATTACCCTTCATAACGGTAGCGAATTACAGTTTTGAAGTAGCAACGAAACTAATTTTGTAGTTGGGGGGTCACCACAACATGAGGCCCTTCTCCATCCAGTCTAGCTGACATTCAAGGTTAACCATCACAGCTTTAGGGGAGACCCTGTCTGAAAAACTCCAAACCGAGAGCTGAGTGTGTAACTCAGTGGTAGAGCCCTTACCCTAGCATGCAAGGCTCCGGGTTCTGACCTCGATACCACAAAACCCAACAGACAGCACTAAAACACTAAAATGAAATCACTAAAATGAATGATTAAAATGCAAGTGTCTGAAATGCTTGGGGTTAGTAGTGTTTCAGAGTGTGCATGCGCACGCGCGCGCGTGCACACACACACACACAAGTTTCGAAGTTTGGAATAATTGCACACAAATAGTGAGCTATCCTGGGAATGATACTCAAATGTACACACAAAATCTGCTTATGTTTCAGATGTTTCTTAAGCAAGCAGCCTGGGGATAATTTTACATGACATTTTAGTTTTTGACTTTATTTTTTATTTTAAAGTCAAGCTAGGGTTTCTCTGTGTAGCCCTGGTTGTCCTGGACTCACCCTGTAGACCAGGCTGGCCTTGAACTCAGAGCTCTGCCTTCTTTCTGCCTCCCCAATGCTTACAGGGGTGCATCACCATTCTCAACCTTACACAACATTTTTGAAGTTAATTTCTACTGTGACCTATCATGTGAGCTGAGATGTGGAATTCTCCACTTGTGATTTTCTTTTCTTTTCTTTTTTTCTGATTTTGGGAGCATTTCAGGTTTCACATTTTCGGATTATAGAGGGTCATCTTGAGTGAGCAACACAGATGAAAAGCCAGATCCCAGCTCTGTCACTCTGGCCAAGTCATCTGCCTCTCCCTCTGTTCCTACAGCAAATGACAGCTACTAGCATTGATCTACCATGCGCCCGGTACTGTGCCAGGCACCGGCAACACCGAGCTGAAAGATCTATGGTAGGAAGCCCACCTTCTGGTAGGAAAATCAAGAAACCTCCCAGCGGTAGGACAGAGTGTAAATGTGATGCACTGTAACAGGTTTCCCTGGGACCTCGAGGGAGGTGAAGCTAAATTAGGCTTTAAGGTCTGTTTACCAGTAGGCATAGTGTGAAGTCTTGCGGGAGTAGGAAGGCAGGGCAAATCCAAGCAGTTTGTTAGCAGGGCGCCTGGTGGCTGCAGGGGCAGACGGTGTCAACTGGATATGGACCCCAACTTGCACAGTTCAAAACTGAATCTATTATACTTTTCTACTTGTAAAAGAGATACCTCTTCAAAGATGGGCATTCGGCTGCGTAGTCCGCGTGGACTTGATAAGGGGTTTCAAGCAAACCCACCGGGTATGGCACTGTGTTTAGAAAGCAATGACAGCGGTGTGGCACCAGAGGCCTGGCTGAGAAGCTGTTTCAGTAACACTAAACTCCCCGGAAATTCCGGGACAATGTGTGAGGCAGGCCCCGGTGACACTCGGAGTCCAAGGCTTGCTCTCAAATCTAGCTCCTGCCCTTGTGACTTACAGACCAGGGACCACTCAACTCGTGTGCTTCAGTTTCCACTACTGATCTGTCCTTGGGGAACCTCCAGCAGCCTCGACCTCCACCCTCAAGCCGGGCACTCCATCTGGGCATGGTGTGTCTATGCCCCTATTAGGCTCGTCCGGGGCACCCATGGCGGGGGACTTCTGTCTGTCTCCAGGTGCCTCATGACTTGTCTCCTGCTCTCTATCAGTGACATTTGCGTAGTAATAAGTAATACAGAGAGCTGGGCAGGGTGGTGAATGCTCAAGTCCCAGCATTTGAGACGCGGAGGCAGGAGGATGAGAAGTTCAAGGTTAACCTGTTCTACAAAAGACTTTGTTGAGAAATTAATAAATGGTCGATGCTATGCAGAGTTCCCCGAATGTTCAACTTGGAAACTACACTTGGAAATTCTGTGTAACGTGATGTTTGATACCCAGAAGTAACAACTCTTTAATTTTTGTGTGTGCTCATGCATGGGGTCAGAGGGCAACTTGGGGGAGTCAGTTCTTTCTTTCCTGGGACTGGGCTCAGGTTGTCAGGCCTCATAGCATTTGCCCACTGAGCTGTCTTTTTTTTTTTTTTTTTTTTTAATTTGTTTTCGTGTATATGGCTCTTTTGCAGGTATGTCTGTATATCATGTGTACACTGCCCACAGGAGCCAGAAGAGAGCATCAGATCCCCTAGAATTAGAATTACATATGCTTGTCAGCCATCATGTGCGTTCTGGGAATTGAACCTGGGTCCTCTGGAAAAGCATCCAGTGCTCTTACCCTCAAAGCCACCCCCGCCCCTGCTCTGCCACTGAACTACTTCAACACTTTCTTTTCTTTTTTCCTTCCTTCCTTCCTTCCTTCCTTCCTTCCTTCCTTCCTTCCTTCCTTCCTTTTTCTTTCTTCTTCTTTCTTTCTTTTCTTTCTTTCTTTCTTTTTCTTTCTTTCTTTCTTTCTTTCTTTCTTTCTTTCTTTCTTTCTTTTTCTCTCTTTCTTTCTCTCTCTCTCTTTCTTTCTCTCTCTTTCTTCTTTCTTTCTCTTTCTTTCTCTCTCTTTCTTCTTTCTTTCTCTTTCTTTTCCTTCCTTCCTTCCTTCCTTCCTTCCTTCCTTTCTTTCTTCCTTTCTTTCTTTCTTCTTTCTTTTTCTCTGTGTAGCCCTTTCTGTCCTCTTACTCTGTAGACCAGGCTGGCCTCTGCCTCCCTGAATGCTGGGATTAAAGGCTTTGCCACTACCAACCCCTCTTTCAATACTTTCTTTTTGTTTGTTTGTTTTTAGGTTTTTTTTTTTTTTTTTTTTTTTTTTTGAGACTGAGTTTCTCTGTGTAGCCTTGGCTGTCCTGGACTCTCTTTGCAGACCAGCCTGGCCTTGAACTCACAGTGATTTGCCTGCATCTGCCTCCCCAAGTGCTGGGACTCCAGGTGTGACCTGCACACCAGGCTTCCGTACTTTGTTAACAATAGAAGATCAGCTGTTCCCCAGCCTTCCCCCGTTTAAAGTGTGAGTGCTAGAGATCAAAACTCTGGGTCTCCTGCTTGCTCAGCAAGCACTCTCACCCACTGATGCTCCAAAATCAGTGTCTTGTTCGAAAATGTCAACCTCTAAAGTGGTCCAACCCTTCTGGCGTTTTACAAAGACCGTGGGGCCAGAGGCATAGCTCAGTGATAGAACACGTGCCCAGAACGCACACAGCCGTGACTCTGATTTCCATCCAGCATTGCAAAACAAAGAAAAATGTCCCAAGGGCCAGGCGTGGTGGTGGCAAATCTCTGCAGTTGCTGGCCAGGCTATAAAAACAAATAAATAATAACACGGCCGCTGCTGAAGGTAAGAAATAACAAGGGAGCGGGCGAGAATGACCAGCGGTGAAATCGCTTTTTGCCAAGCCTGGGGGCCTGAGTGTGGTCCTCAGGACCCACACGGGAGAAGGAGAGGGCTGACTCTGAGGGGTTGTCCTCGGACCTCCACTTCTGGGGCAGCTGCAGTCCACACACACACATGTAATAGAGACTGTTGTAACGAAACAAAACCCTGTCCTTCTTTACAATAAAATAAATAAATAAATAAAAAAAATCAGTGAAAATCATAAAGCGCTTTGTGAGCGGCTTAAAGCTGAAATAACTATCAGGTCGCTGCTCCTCAGGTTCTGAGGCTAGAGCCAAGACGTGAAAACCTGCACAGAAGCAGAGTAGAGAGAAACCACTTGACACTGTGGCTCTTCATCTTAGCTCCCTCTGGGTCGGCCTTGCCGGCAAGCCTCAATTTCTCCAGTGAGGGGCATCTGAATCCCCGAGGGAAAGGCAGGTGGGAGTGTAAACAAGCCTTGTGTGTGTGTGTGTGTGTGTGTGTGTGTGTGTGTGTGTGACAGGCTTGGCCTTAGCAGGGATCAGGGAGCATTTGTTGTGTCCTCCCCTGGGCTGAGTCTGCTACAGCCGTGAACATGTTTATAAAACTGTTATTTTATGTAATTCTCACCTCAAGGTTGAGAATCGGGTGTGGGGACACTGTTCTTGTCATCTCCACTTTGCAAAGAGGCGTTTCAGAGTGTGGGAGGGCCAGTTGGGATCAGTGAGGACCTGGGCTGCCAGCTACCCCTGGCCTGACACCATGATACTGCTCCTGCCCCGCCTCAACCTGCTCCTTCTCTTGGGAAACCAGCACTTGCTGTCCTAATTATATTTCCTGGCAATATCATCCAAGCCTCCTGCATTTGTCGGATCCTGACCCTGGCTTGCAGTCCCTCTGCCCTAGCCCTGTCAAGTTAACAAAGCACATGGAAACGACTCCTGGGACGAGGTCATAGGGCAGTGCCTTCCATCTCTGGACAGTGTCAAGCCTTGGTCCCCCATTCAATTCACAGGAGCTCTCTCTAACATGACCATAGGAGACACTGGCAGTGATCCTCTGGGTGTTAAGTTTCAAACCCTGGACAAGTGGCTGAAGTGACATATCAAATCAGAGCTGGCCACCAGGTTCTCCCAGCACCCCTCCGCCCCTACCTGTTCCGGTTGTAGCTGGCAAACCCTGCCCCCTACCCTGACCTTTCCAGCCGAGGGGCGGGGCTGCCCTTCCCCCAGAGGCTCTTCTCTATATAACCCAGACATTCTGGTTACCCACCCTCTTTTGCTTCTTTTGTACCTCTGGCCCCTGGCTGCTGTACTTGGTTCCCCTCTCTTCCTTCCCCCCCTTCTCCCCACATGGCTCAGAGTCACGACCACTCTGACCCTCCCACATGTGTGTGCCTCTGGCTATGCTTTCCCACCTCTACGGTAAACTAAACATTCTCCTCCAGCATACTTAGGAGCAGCCATGTCCTTTTTTTTCCTTTTTACTTCTTGTTTTCACTGGGTAGTGGGATCACCCAGTGAACACGGAACAGAACCTGGGCCTTCAGAACACGGGAGGGCTGCTCTAACTCCAGGCAGGGTTGGCCCTTGGCCTGGCGTTCAGTCACCTTGAGCTGATAGTCTGCAGCAGCTACGGAGTTGAAGCTTATTTCCTACTCTTCCTACCTCCTGGAGAGCGCGTGTAGGACCTTTCAGGTCAGTGCGAAGCGTGGGTGCCTTCCGCACTTAGGCTTTCGAAAGCCCCCACTTTGGATTCTGTGCTTCTCAGTTGCTCCACACACATATTCTCATTTCATTTTGTTTCCTTGGCAGTGGTCACCTTAGACATGTTACGTCTTTGCTTATTTGTTATCCTAATTCCCCCCTCCTCCATTATCCTGGAATAGGGCAGGGGTCTTGGTCTTTCTGCTTTTTGTTTCTCCTTGTGCTGGAGTGGAACCTAGAACCTTGTGCATGCAAGGCAAGCACTGTCCAGCTGAGCTACATCCCCGGCTCAGTCTGCTTTGTTCATGGACATACCCCAGATACTCAGTAAGGCGCCAAGCTTCTCAAAGTATTAACTAAGTGAATGGGTAAACAGCAATGATGATGCAATCACTGTTTCAGACGGTCCCAGCCATCATGCTTTAAGCTCTAAGGCAAAACCAAAACTGTTGCTAAGAATAAAAGGGATCATTTCAAGCTGGGTGTGGTGGGCACACACTTTTAATCCCAGCACTCTGAAGCAGGCGGCTCTCTGGATTGGAGGCTAGTCTGGTTTACAGAGCGAGTTCCAGGACAGCCAGGGAAAGAACACTGTTTTGGGCTGGAGAGATGGCTCAGAGGCTAAGAGCACTGGCTGCTCTTCCAGAGGTCCTGAGTTCAATCCCCAGCCACCACATGGTGGCTCACAACCATCCATAGTGAGATCTAGTGCCCTCTTCTGGCATGTGGGTGTACATGCAGATAGAGCACTGATATAGACAAAATAAATCTTTTAAAAAAAACAACACAAAACCTGTCTTGAAATAAAATAAAACCAAGGGATCATTTCGCTAACATAATCTCTTTGTGAGTCTTATAGCAAACATCTCTTGTTCTGCAGTCCAGAAATCATCTTCCTGTCTGGTAATTTAAGGACCCTCTGAGACACATTTCTTTTCCCCATTGTCACTCTCTGTGGGTCCAGGCTGGACCAGTGCCTTTATTAGAACACGTGGCCCAGGCTGAGTCTTTCGGTTCTGGAAGGCCTCTAGGAGATCTTCCTAGCCAGTAGCCATTTTGCTTCCACCTCAAGAGCCTAGGATAAATAGATTTTGGGTAAACTTATGGGTGTTTTTGTTTGTTTGTTTGTTTGTTTGTTTGTTTGGAAATGGGGTCTCATGTGGCCAAGGGTGGCATCAAATTCCCTAAGTATCTGAAACTGATGCTGAATTCCTGATCTCCTTGCTTCCACTTCCTAGCTGCTAAGATAGCAAGCATGTGAGCAGCTCTACCTGCATGATTTGGTCAAAGTCCCACTTTGTAGAACTGGCCCAGGGAAGCTCACAGAGGTACGGCCTGCGAATTCCGGATTAGCTGAGGTTAGGACAGTGGTCCTTATGACCTCCAAGGTTCCTGCTGGTCCTCACAAAACTACATAGCATGTCGTCATGGTTTCTCAAGTGTTTGTCCTTCCCTGGTGTCTGTCTTCCCTTGTCATGTCTTATCGAGGGCCTGGGATGGTGTCTGCTAGGGTAGTATGAGGAACTGGAAGTCCTTCCATGCCTATCTTGGTTCTGTCCCTAGTCAGTTTCTCTGACTCTGTGGCCATTTTTCAGTTCAGCATACTCTGAAGAGGGCAAAGAAGGGGCTGGGAAAGGGCCGTCAGCGGTGGAGCATGGCGGGCCAGGGCTGTGCCTCTGTGGAGCAGAAGGAAGCACAGCAAAGGCGGAGCCATGACAGCCTCACCTCAGGAGTGCTCAGTGCCCTTAACCAGAAGTGAAGCTGAGTGAGGGAGATCAGTGAGCTGTTAGAGAACAGAAAGCAGGAGCCTGTGTCCGGCCGGGAATTCACAGCCAACTTTGAAAATAATTAACTAAAAAAATCAGTGTTTTTAAGGAACACTACTCTACCAAATTATAGGGGCAAACAGCAACAATTATGCTAGCTACTGTCGAGATGAAATGAGTCCTATTTACCTGTTTTAGGAGGCAGTTCAAAGTTATCCTTTTTATCTCTGTTCCACTGTCCCCTACCTAAACCAGACACCCAGCTGGTTTGTCCCTGATGGCTGGCTGGGATTACTGTCCTAATTTGTTCTTTCTTCATCTGCTACAACCTGCCTGTTTTCTGTCCTTTCGGATAAAGTTAGAGCGCAGAGGGGCTTCTGAGCTGTTTTTGTAGCACGCAGAAGTGCATTAACCAGCGATGCTGTGTATGTGCCTATAAACCCCTGTCTTCTCAGTGTGAGATCACCTTCAGGAACGGCGTCATGTCGATGTGCAGCTTGCGTGTGTAAAATTCTTTTTCTTTTGAACATATCAGCCCTTTATTTATACAACTTTGAGGCTCTCTCGTCCTCTGAGCTGCTGCCTCCAAGGACCGTGGGGCTCCCTGTGAGAGAAGCAGAAAGACCAGCTTTCATAGGAGCGATACACAGGGCAACAGGAGCTGGTCCAACCCTCCCACCCCAATATTTATGAAAAGCATTTTGTTTCATCACGGCCACACTAACAGCAACATCTGTTTTTACCGCTGAAGACACAAGGGCACACACATGTAAAGAACAATCAGACTAGCTGATGGTATCCAGAGAAGTGGGAAAGGGACCTTCCCGGGGTGATAATTATTTCATTTACTACTCACAGCAACCCTGGCAGGCAGGTCTGGCTGCCCCCCACATCACAGATCAGGAAACCAACTTGCCCAAAGCCACTTAGATGGCATTTGGAAGAGTTAAGATCACTGCCAAAGAAGACTTTTTTTTTTCCGCCTTTCATTTTGGTGACAGTTTCTCACTGTGTAGCCCATGCAGGCCTCAAACAAACTTGTGATTCTTTTGCCTTGTCCTCCAAAAGTGTTGGGGGTCATAGGCCAGCGCCTCCATATCTAGACTCCTTTTAAATATGTGATTTAAAAAAATATTCCCCATAAGGTCCATGAATGGTCACCAAGTCTGCCCTGCAGTATGTGCGATTACAGCAAGAGTTGGGCTTATCTGTAAGCGGAGATGCGTTTGATGTGTTGGGAAGAGTGATTTGAACAAATGTGGCGGAGAGGGAAGGAAGAATGGGCCAAGACGGGAGTCTGGGAGGCCCCAGGGGCTCTGTGATCTCTTGGGCCGCACACTCTCTGTGGTCATCAAAATGAGCAAATGGTGTCACATTTCAGAGCACCGCAGGTTTGAGCTGAAGTTGCCTTCCAGCCCAAGCCTCCCACGGCAAACTGGGTGATCTAAGATGCGCAACCCCCAAAGGCCGGTGCCTCGGAATGAAGGAAGGCTGACCATCTTAAAATGTCTCCGAGGCCCTTCTTGCCTGACGCTGGTCTTTTTGGCTTCTTCCAGTCGGTCAGTCAAAGAACATTTATTGTGTCTTTTCCCTGCACAGTGGAGTAGACAGAAATGGAGCGCCATGAGGGCCATGTGGGTGCACTCATGAAGAACACACTGAGCCCTGCTGAAAAAGGGCACAGAGAACCAAGACGGAAGCCATGCCTGGATGGGATTCATCCTTGACCAGCAGAAAAAGCAGCAGAAAGGGGTTGAGCAGCAACTGAGGATGAATGGGGAGGCACAATTTTCAGCAGGGGAATGGAGGGGGGTCCTGGGGTGTCATATGAACTTTTCCTTGCCTGGTTCCACTGTTGTCTAGAAGGCTTACCGCCTCTGTCTGCTAACCTAGGCCTAGTGTTACAGTGTAGGCAGCCTGCTTTTAGGTTGCCTAGTAACCTATGACGTCATGATGTGTCGCCTGCCAGGTGTGTGGCAGATGCACCTGGCAGATGCGGTTCAGCTGAGCAGGAGGCATAAAAGGACCAACCCGCTACTTTATCGCTCTCTTGCTCTCTCTGCTTTTGCTTCTCTGCCGGGGCGCCCCCTCCCTCATCTCTGTCCCTCTGTCTCTCTGCCCTCATGGCTCACTCAGGCCCTAACTCTCTTCCGATTTCCTTCTCCCCCTTCCCCATAATAAAACTCTGATATGAAAATAAACCCTAACACCTAGTTCTGGATGCTTCTATTCTCTGCACAATCTAACCTAGAATATTTCAGCCTCTGAGACTTATGCTTAATAAGCTCACCCTTTCTTGTTCTTACTGAGCTTTGGGCTGGCTGGCTCAACTCAGCTGTTCTGGCTCAAACTCCTCTCCCTGCCCCTCTCCTCTTGATCCTCAGGTCTGTTTTGTCTGCATCCCCCTGTGGCCTCCCAGCCATGGCCTGCAATAATGGTGGAGGCTGTGCAGTTTCTTCCACACTAGCTGACAGTGAGCTCCTTCGGGGCAGGAGCCAAGGCTGTCCTGTTCCCCTGTCCCAGCAGTGCCTGGCTCAGAGACTGGGAATGCATTCACAGCTGAGCTGTGTGCGGCCTACTGAGTCGAAGAGTGAGGGATGGCTGGATGAAGACTAGCAGAGGCAGCTATGAAGATAGCTCACCTGGCTTCAGATAGGGAGGGGACAAGAAGCGCCCTTCCCAGGAAGGGTGCCTTGACCTCCATGTGGTACTGGTCCCTCATTTGCAAAGAGAAAAGTTATTTATTTGGGAGGTGCCAATTTCCTGGGGTCACACGCATCAATGTGCTGTGAGATCACCCTGGGTGGGAATTTGATCAGCTCCATATTTTCTAGGGGACTAACTCCCAGATGTCTGTCTGTCTGGGCAGCCATAGCCATCCATCCCCTGACACTTCTATCATGCTTCCACGAGGAACTAACAGTGGGTGGTTCCTCACAAGGGGCTGTCCTTCCAGCGAGCAGCCACATCCATTTCCTTGGTTTTGAAACAAGCCTAAAGATAAAGGTTTTCCTGTAAAAATCAATGTCTATTTTTTTTTTGTCATTTCAGCCATATATCTGCTTAGTTTTTCAGGCAGAGACTTCTCTTCCCCCTCTCCTCACTCCAATGAAAGCTTTTGGTTGCAGCTAGCATCTGACAGAATTCAAGCTGTCCAGCCTCATAATCCTTCATGAATCACTTCCTGGTGACCATTCGGCTCATCTCTCTGTCAGTTAGGAGCCAACAGTTGGAGCACGCTGGAATGCTTTCAGAAGTACTGTTTATGATGCTGATGGTGGTGATGATGTCCAAGGGTCTGCAAATGGATGGTAGTATAAGAGAGCTGGGGGGGGGGAGGGCTGGAGAGATGGCTCGGTGGTTAAGAGCACTGTCTGCTCTTCCAAAAGATGTGGGTTCAGTTCCCAGCACCCACATGGCAGCTCACAACTGTCTGTGATGCCATTTCCAATTGACGGTGACTCATCTATGAAGACATTATAATAGGGATAGGCTGGCAACTAGTGGGGGACAGATGGTGATATGCCTTGGGGCAGTCACGGAGGATCTCTCAGAGGAGGTGACAGTACACTGGGTGGTAAGGAGCCAGCCTGGACCAGATCTGTCTTTAGCAGTCAGTACAGCCTGTAGTTCCTTGGTCGGATTATTTTGGAGGTCCAGCTCAGGCAGGGGCTCTTTGAAAAGGAACGTAGAGTTCTTGATTCCCAGACCCACTCTGTTCCAGCCTTCTGGGCTCCATCCTGACCCTCTGAGTGTCCCTTTGTGTTTGCAGGATAAAGCAATCAAAACTGACCCTTTCGGCTGTGGGGTAATGTTGAGAGCAAAGACAGCAGCACAGAGAGTAACCCAGGGTCAGGGTCTCTAAAAATGCAGGAAGGAGAAGAAAACCCAGAGTTAGCTGGAAGGAAGGGGAAGGGGAAGGGGTGAGTGGGGGTGGGGGCTGGAAGGAATCAGAGGCCCAAAGCTGTTTTTGCTTCTCATGCTCACACTTTGGTGGAGATGATTTAAAACGGATGGAGAGGTGACATATTTCAGAGAAAGTCAGAACTTATCCAGCTCTCTTCCCTATGCTCTACTGTAAATATTTCACTATTTTAGATTCTGCTAAAAAACACCTGGAAGTCTTTCTCCTTAGCAAACGAAACAGTAAAGATGAACGAGTTAATCTGGTAGCGCCGATTTGAATTGCACAGAAGGCATTGCGCAAGTGCTTGGCATTTAAACAGTTACCTGACATTTAAAATGAGATGACTGTTAATGAATTCAAGAGCTAATCTTGCTCTCTGACAGAGGGAGCTGTGGAAAACCCAGGATTATTATCTTGCTGTAAACATAATGTGGTCCAGCTGAGCTATCAACAGAAGGGAGCCATTGGCTGCATACAAACACCCATAGGAACTACACGAGCAAAACTGAAAGGAGACATCCATTAGAGTTAAGTAAACAGCTTATCATTTCCTTTGAGTACCCGTGGATTGTAGTATCCGAACTCTAGACCCAGGGAGTCTGGCTATCTCCCCTCCTCCCTTGAGGTCTCTCAAAGCGTCACAAGTTGCTCTACAAACAGACCTTGGGATCTCGCACTTTAAAATGAGACCCTGAACCCAAACAGCTACAACTCCACCCATGAGTCCCACAGTAGCCACCCGAGACAAGGATCTGTCCCTCGGGGCCTCCTCCTGATGTCTCCCACTCCTTTCTAATTGGGGTTCCCCACCTTTGTTGCTGCCGCTTAATGGCTCCAGCGGGAGCTCCGGTCCCTCATTAAGTAGGCTGCAACACTCTGGCCGGCTAACTGCCTGGCCTCCCACGCAGCTCACAGCTCCACTCTGCCTGAGAGCCGGCTGCCAAGTCTCTGGGAACTTGTGGGCAAGCCGAGTTTTGGGGAAGGAAACAGGAGGGGGGGAGGGAGAGCCTGGGTAGCCAAGATTCGAATGGTACCGGGAACACACCCCACCATTGTCTCTGGAAGGGGTGGGGGCCGAGGTGCCTTTGTTGAAATCCCTGTGGAGTCCTTTCTGTTGTCCGAACACACGGGAGGGGGGCATTTGTCCCCTCCTGTGAGCAAACAAAAGGGAAAGCCCTGATCGCCAGACCCCCTCCATGGTCTTAACTCTTCTATCCTTGGGAGCTTTGAATCCTGGTGGGAAGGGAGACCTGAGAAAGCCGGGCCCTAGGTATGCAGGATTCGAAGCCCCCTCCCCACAACCAAATCCTGAAAATGGGAACCTCTGGCTAAAAGGGGGCCTCACCAGTCCCCCGAGTTTTGCCACCTAGGGCCTAGTTGCTTCTTCCTTTGGCAGCCTATGGCACTAGAATGCAGTAGAATGGGGAACAGGGGTGGGGCTGGCTTGCACTTTGAACTTTGCTGCCTCCTCGTGATTTGGCTTCTCCAAAAGATCCGCTTGGTGAGGGCTGTGGTCACTGCAGACATTGCCAACTACCTCTGCCCAGTCACCTTTGGGCCGTCTCATACCTTCTCTGTTCAGGGCTCCGCTGCCTGGGAGAGGAGAGCGCAGAAGGCCTCCCAGGGAGCAAAGCGTCTGCAGGGTTCAGCATCTTCCCTCCCCTCCCCCATCATCTCTGCCACCCCAAGTTCTACTC